AAATCACATATTTTCACAATTCCAGAACCGGATCTGGGCTAATCTGCACTGGCTCGGAAGGTTGTAAATGATTAGCTAGTTTGAATTTGCATAACAATACTGACAATGAACGTGCATTCAACGCCACAAGTTTTTTTGTTTTTTTAGCCAATCAGAATTCATCTTCCGAGCCAGTGCAGATCAGCCGCCGGATCTCAGTCGTGCATGGATGGATTTTGTTCAGATTTAATGCATATATTAAACATAATATAAGCTTGATGCACACCAATTTTTCTGCGGATCAAGTTCAAAATGGCCGACTGGCAGCCATTTTGTTTTAAAGAATTTAGTTTTCAATCCATATCTCGGACATGCCTGGACAGATCAAGACCAGACTTCACACACATCATACAATGTGCTGTACATATGCAGGTGCATTTCAGATCAGACCACTGAAAGTGGTCTGAGATTTCGGTCATGATCTGCTTTGAATGTATATGTCACTCAAATATGAATGGAACGGGGACGTGTCATTGACAATGACTTGTTTTTTCTTATCTTATCATTCTTTCAGGTGAGTTTGATGATGAGGCAGCAACTGGTTGAACGAGCCAAAGATTTTTTTATTGTATTAGATGATGTTGCCATAACAGAACTCAGCTTTGGTAAAAAAAAAACATTTTTGCTTGAATTAATGTTTAAAATCTGTATTGTATTAGCTCTAATAATACACTCACATACGTGACAGGTTTGAAGTCAATGTCAATGTAAAAGGGGCATTTAGGATAAAGGTTATATGATCATTGTGCATGTTATTGTTACATGTGATTCTATTTCTAATAGAGCAGATACAATAGTAGATTATTTACTCATTCAAAACTGGTCATATGATATTGTTGAATGCATTTTGTAATAACTCTTGTATGTTTGTGAAGGATTGCTGACTAGTTTGTTTATACTGTGGAATACTTTATTTTCGTTGGAATTAATTTTTGCTGAAAAGGCTTTTTGGGGCGTTTTGTATAGAATTTATTTTGACTGATTTTTGATGACTTTAATGTGAAATATAGGAAAAAAGTATATTCGCATCCCTTCAGCGAAAATAGCAAAAATAAATTCCAAGTGAAAATATAGTATTCTACAGTAACTATTGCATGTATAATGAGTCTATTTGCATATTGTAATTCATGACTGATGAAATGAATTCCTTGCTTACCAAATAAGTCAGTTTGCATATTGTAATTCTTGTATACATAATGATGAGTCTATTTGCATATTGTGACACTGCGTACAAGAACTGTTTTGTTGCTTTATTGGTATACTTCATTAGAAAATCAAATTTAATTTTGTTTTCAGGTAAGGAATATGCGGCAGCTGTTGAAGCTAAACAAGTAGCTCAGCAGGAAGTACAGAGGGCGCACTTTATCGTAGAACAAGCCAAACAAGAAAGAAATAGGAAAGTTGTACAAGCAGAGGGAGAAGCAGAAGCTGCCAGACTTATATCCTTTAATGAAATAATTTGTTCACTACTGGGATTCCATTGACCCATGCTAGTTACCAAATTGTACAAAGTATTTATTATGATTTGGCTACAACAAATGTCACTTCATCACCATTGCTGAATACAATTATAAACCATAAATTGTTCTTCAAATATGTTCATCAATTAAACATAGAAAGGTAAATTAAATACCTGGAAAACATTTTGTTTAATAAGTAAATGTAAGCATATCATTTGCCAACATGATTAAAAAAGATACGATTTTATCATAAGTTTGTAAGTGAATGAGAAAAATAATGTAGTATTAACCACTTTGCCTTTAGGTGCAATCTGATTGGTGTTGATCCTAAACTGTGAATATGTAAGGTGCCATCTGATTGGTGTTGATCCTAAACTGTGAATATGTAAGGTGCCATCTGATTGTGTTGATCCCAAACTGTGAATATGTAAGGTGCAATCTGATTGGTGTTGATCCCAAAGCTGGCCACATGATGAGTACTGCAAAGCTGATTGTCATTCTTTATTACTATGTTCATGAGAAACCAGAGTTACCATAGTAATAGCCAGCGTCTGTAATCTTGGTGAGAGCGTTGTAGTTGTCTACGTACACATCGTAAGGGCAGACGTACACAGATTATATCGCCTTCTGCAGACCACTTTGTCAAAGCTGTAACAATGTGGCAATCTGGTGGTATTACATTTGGGATTTATGGGGTGGTATTATGGGATGTATATTGGGGTGGATTTTAATTGGTAGAATAATGAATGACTAATGTGGATGTCTTTAGTAATCTGATGGCCAGTGCATCTTGGGATACATACTCTAAACATTTTTAGGGTATTTTCCAGTCTGAGCTTTGGTTAGCACGCGAAAGCGTAATATGCAAATTTTGTTGATTTCCCATTCTCTGAATGTTATGACTTAACAGTATCTTACATTGGGCAGTCATTGGGTCTGAATCCAGGTTATCTTAAACTACGAAAAATAAGAGCTTCCCAGAATATTGCCAGGACAGTAAGTTGACCTTTTTATTTTGTGATGTATTAACCCTTGTAATCGCTAAATACTCTTTATAATTACAGTAAAACCATTTTCAGATAAAGTTTTAATAAAAATGATCCCAGAAATTTAACACCCATTAAAATGTCCATCACTTGCGGACGCTGTTGATATACCATTCATATCTGCTAGCTATAGAGGCTTGCAGCAAATAATGTGTTAATTGAATGTCTCTGTTGAACTTTGTCTATTTTTAAAACCCTTTAAAAATATAATACGAAAAATATTTGACTGTACTAATTGTGTACTGCAGTCTAACTCAATGTAACAATGCTGAGTTTGTTATGAAATGAATATTTCAGATGTCTATTCAAAAAAGAGATTTGTGCATGTGCAATTTTGATATGCAAATGTATTCAAATTAGACTTCCTCCTGTGAATTTAATTTGAGATCAATGAACTGCTATTAAAATGTATTTCATTTCACTTCTCTTCTCAGATATCTGGATCTCAAAACAGGGTATACTTGAATGCAGTCAATCTCATGTTAAATGTCAATGAAAACACGTACGATGAATCCGCTGATAAACTTTACCAATCAACAAAAAAAAGAAAATAAATGATAATAAACTGAGCCTGATGTGAAAGTCAGCCATTGTTTAATGTGACAGTCATATTAATATTCTAGATGTGAAATCATGGTGGTGAAGCATAATATGTTGTATAGATTTAATTGCATGTGACAATCACATGCTCATCACAAGAACGGTGCATGGTTAACAAGTACCCACCTGACTTCACCACAGAACATTAGTAATTCTGTCAGATATATGAATGCTTTTTTAAGATATCCCAGATCATAGTTTGCATTAATAAACTTGATTTTAACTCTTTGAAAGTCAACTCCTTCCCTGAAAAAATGTTGGCGGAAAAAATGTTGGTATTTAAAGAGTTAATTGTAGGTCAAAGAATTTCGTTATCAGTGAAACACTTAGTTGAATTACGGTGGATGACAGTAGTTGAACAAAATTAAGTTTTAATAAATATGTATATGAGCTGTAGTTTGAGGTGATTAATTAATAACACATTTATGTACAGAAAACATCTGTTGCAAAGAAACTTCTATCTCATATAAATGTATAAAAACGAGATTTATATGAAAAATTCATAATCAACATTTGTTTGATAAATGCTGAAAACTTGTATTCTTGTTTTATGTGTGGTGCATGTTCTGTAATTGGATTTGTGTAATAAACATTTTCAATCGCCTTTAAATGCTGTGTCTGGTAATATATCATAGGTACAAACTCAGAACCCAGAGAACATCTCAAAAAATTATTGGGTAGGTTCAAAATTGCAGTCATTGATTTCTACAACACTTTATGGAGACACAGAAATGATAAAAACTAATTTATAAATTCTCGTACAATATTTACGTATTCAAATTTGAAACTTTAGGTACCCGGTAATTCGCTCATGCACATATTTCGGCACCAAGGAAAGTTTGCAATTCCTGCCAGTCTCAGGCTGGCTTCTGTTTTGTTCGAAGTCTTCAGTTCTGCTTCCAGATTGTCACCAGGTGTTCTTGGGAGTAGAGGTTATTGCAATTGCATAGCACATTTCTGAAATAACATATTCTTTGAATCCCATCAAGTTGTATATTTTTAGAAGCTTATTTTTCAAATAATATGAAATAAATATTCCAACAAAAAATGGAACCATGTGATCACTATGCAAATATAGAGGTGTTATTTTCGAAGAAACCAAAATAAGACTGCAGAATTATGTACTTATAGTTACTATGAAAGGTTTGAATTGTGTGATCTGGATTTTGGCCTCATAATACTTATTAAAAATATCGTCAATGTTTTGAAATATCCCTCTTTGTCAGAGTTCACAAAAAAGAGAGTTGTGTTGTATTTTCCAAAGTCCAAGTGGTTGACAAATCTTTGCCAGATTTTATTAGCAGCTATCAGAGAATACTTATGCCAAAAATTACTGTCGTGTAGTAACTTGGAGTGGAGTTCAACTCTCTAGACTCGCCCCAAATACCGATGTTTTTTTATGTGTGAAAAATCACCATAAAACACACTGTATCTCAGAATTACTCAAAATGTATTATCCTCTTACAACATCGCTACAATTGTTTTTTCTAGTTGGATGCATGCTTTGTATATTTTTATAAGAGAATGTGGAAAAAGAAATTTGATATTTTCAAAGAAAAAAACCTCTACTACATCCTTACTACGTCTTCATCTGGTGTCCAATGCAGGGCTATGCAGGTGATGTCATCCCTTCTGATGACATGACCAGGCCATCTCAATTGCCTTCACATGATGATGGTTTCAATGTTGTCATGGTTGCAGTGAACAGTTGCTGGTTATAGATATATTCACTACGTTCTATGACCCACCATATACTCCATGTAGGCATTAATCTGCGATTCAACCAACGATGGAAAGAGAAGAATCCAGGACAGGGGAAGCCCCATGACCTCAAGATTTTCTTTCACTTCATGATCCACGTGACCGAGGTAATGAGGCGGCACCATATTGTCTTCCAAATCACCCTCATTTTTCTCTGCCCGAGTGGGTGGTTCGATAAAAACGGTGCGTTCAGTTTTAGCTGTAATTCGTTCCTCTCATGCATGTCTTATTCATTTTTACCAATGTGTTTTCAGAAATGAATAGCAAGAAAGGGTATATGCCATTCACCTTTTTTGTCGCCCCAAAGATCGGAGCGACTGTTCGGTAGTTGCCACCAGGAATAACCAGCTTGCAACCCTTATAGCAAATGCTATTTGTGTTTCGACTGTGCAAGGCTTGGGTTATTGCCTAAAACTGGGGTTCCAAGGCCTGGAATACGTTCCAAGGCCGCGTGCAAATTTCCGAAACTGACGGCATGCGTACAGTAATGTGAGCGATGGAGTGGAGTGTCTTGTCTACCATTGCCTGGTGTACCATGGCAACGAGTGAGAGGCTTGACAATGCAGGTCCCAAGATTTCTCAGCCCCCCTGCAGTGTCTGGAGTCAATTCTCTGTCTGTTTTCACTGGGCGCACCACTGCAGTTAAGCAGACTGGACCCCCCACCCTCTTTCTTTTGAGGATGGAAGGAGCAGTCTTGGTGCTTCGGGATCCCACTCACCAGTTACTAGTACGCATGAGACACGCAAGCCAGTTTGGCTTCTGAAAGCGGAAAGGACCCCAAGCTGAAAAAACATTACGATCAAAGTCGGCACTCACTGGCTAGAAGTAGCCAGGAGGCAAGTGTCCCGGCTCTTCTGGGGGAGGGAAGAACAGTGACGCACCCCCCAGGTGTTCGTCCCCCTCTTCCTCAGGGGTTGCCTACCCAGCTCGCAGGGGAAGCAAGTTTGCACTTCCGCTTGCGACGAGAGGGATGGGCATATGGTTGACGAGAGTCTGAACCTATCGACATCTACAGGCCTCGCAGAGGAAGAGAGATCACCCCCGATGTAGAACCTCTGAACTCAGATATCTCTCTGTCGCAAGATTGCGCCGGTGTATTCCAGCTCGGAGGCAGCATGTAACCTATCCCTGGGCTCTCCACTGTTACAAGACCCCGCTGCAATCTCCACACCCCTGACATCAGCCCCTGTTCGAGGCACTACCAGGGAATTCCCACAAAGCGGAAGCAATCCAACAGGGGGTAAACAGTTTGCTTACACAGGATAGAGGACCCAGCCTTAAGTCTGGGCTTCTACTCGCAAGTGTTGGTGGTTCCAAAGACTACAGGTGGCTGTGTCCCATTCGGGACTTAAGCAGACTAAATCAGTATGTGCTTCTTGGAAACACCGTATTACTCCCTGGGCTCTGTTACTACTGGTTAGCCTGGCTAGATTTGAGCGATGTTACCCACACATACCGATACATCCAGCGAGTCAGCGACTACCTTGATTCACCCATTTGGGCTAAGTAGTCAAGTACAGGGTGCTCCTCTTCGGGTTTTGCATGGCTCCATACGTATTCACCAGAGTGTGAAAACTGGTGGTGCTACTGCCAGGTGTTGGTACTCATCAACCCATACCTAGATGACTGGGAACTACACAACCTAAACAAGGGGTGGTTAGTCAAACAGTAAGACTAACACAGAATTTACCACACCAGTTGGGCTTTCTAGTAAATTGAGCAAAGTCCCATCCTTGGCCAACACAACAGATGGTGTTCCTGGGCATGGAGTTTGACATGGAGCTGGGCTTGCCTGACACTAAGCGACCTAGTGTGACCAAGCGAAGGATGCCTTGCGCTGGTGGTCACCAATTGCCAACCTCAGGCATAGGGTCCCCTTGGACCCACTCACCACGGCTATAATTCTGGTAACGGATGTCTCCCTCACAGGTTGGGGAGCACACCTATTGGAGGAACAAGCCCAAGGAAATGGCCTCTGCTTTGGATTCAGGACCGCCATGAAAGCCATGCACTTAGCACCGATACACTTTCTACCCATAGTTCAAGACCACAGTTCGCTCGGACAACACAGTGATTGTCTCCTATGGCGACAAGGAGGGAGGACCAGATCCCCATAATTGTCAGTCCTAGTGGAGCAAATTATCTTTTGGTACATGCAATACAACATAGAGCTAACTGCACACTACCTTCCAGGGGGCGAGGAATAGTCCAGCGGATGCCCTCTCGTAGCGGCTCCATCTCCAGAACATACAGTGGCAGATACGCCATGGGGTAGCTTGCAGACTGTTCTGGTGGTGGGACAGTCGAAAATTAGACCTATTCATCGCACCCCGGAATGCCAAGCTCCCGACGTACATGACAATCCTGCTGACTCCAGGAGCCTGGGCCAGGGACGCTTTCTCGACCCTGTGGACCCACATGGACGTGTATGCCTTTCCTCCCTCCCTACTTTTCCCTGAGTACTAGAGAAACTTTGACAGGAGCGCACCTGCACTTTGACGCAGGTGGCGTCCAACGGGACAGCGCACTGCCTTTAAGCCCAGTGGTGTACCACTTACATCGAGGCTCTCAGTTGACTCACTTAGGTTTTTTCTGAGTGGGCTGCCAAAATCCTGGCCGGGGAAAACAGGAATCCCACCAACACAGCCTACATATTGAAATGACGAGCATACACTGATTGATGTAGTGGAAGTGAGATTGATCCATGCCATCCCTCTGCTGGTCAGGCAGCTGACTTTTCGTCCATCTGTTTAACGAAATTGATATCTTGTATGAATGTGGATATTTAAAATCAATTTTTGCACAAAGATGATAAGTTTTGATTTTGTTACATTATACACTTATATACTACACAATAAACCTGAATCTAGATTAGCTTCATTGGTACAGCAGGCTTAGTTTGCTTGATTAGTATTTAGAAAGACTAGTGGCATTTTGATGTTCACGAATTGTACACCACTTCTAGCACTTCTTGTGTTTCTATGAGGCTAAATTGTTACAAACTTTCATTAAGTCAAAAACACGTACATATACATTGGTGAACCATTCAGTTTAAATAACATTAAGTTTTCATTAAGTCAATGAAAAAGAAGCTTTAAAAACACGTACATATACATTGGTGAACCCTTCAGTTTAAATAACATTAAGTTTTCATTAAGTCAATGAAAAAGAAGCTTTAAAAACACGTACATATACATTGGTGAACCCTTCAGTTTAAATAACATTAAGTTTTCATTAAGTCAATGAAAAAGAAGCTTTAAAAACACGTACATATACATTGGTGAACCCTTCAGTTTAAATAACATTAAGTTTTCATTAAGTCAATGAAAAAGAAGCTTTAAAAACACGTACATATACATTGGTGAACCCTTCAGTTTAAATAACATTAAGTTTTCATTAAGTCAATGAAAAAGAAGCTTTAAAAACACGTACATATACATTGGTGAACCCTTCAGTTTAAATAACATTAAGTTTTCATTAAGTCAATGAAAAAGAAGCTTTAAAAACACGTACATATACATTGGTGAACCCTTCAGTTTAAATAACATTAAGTTTTCATTAAGTCAATGAAAAAGAAGCTTTAAAAACACGTACATATACATTGGTGAACCCTTCAGTTTAAATAACATTAAGTTTTCATTAAGTCAATGAAAAAGAAGCTTTAAAAACACGTACATATACATTGGTGAACCCTTCAGTTTAAATAACATTAAGTTTTCA